AGAAAGAAAGAAAGAAAGAAAGAAAGAAAGAAAGAAAGAAAGAAAGGACAGTTGATAATCAAAAACTTACACTGAAAGATGTTGTCATGGACTCAAAAGAAAGACTTTATTCCCTCTGGGCTATAAATTTACTATGAAATTATCTTTGTAGAGAAAACTGTCTGGTACTTAGGTGTTTTCTCAGCATCTGAAAACAGAGCCAGTTCTCCACCATACCTTTCTTTTATTTTCCCAGGCTTTTGAAAACACGCTTCAGCTCTTAACACAATTCTTGCATTGCAGTTTCTATTCCCTCATCTCCGCTTCCTCCAGTCGCTAAAATCTTGCGGTGCTCTAATTCACGGCATGCTTTTAAGCAGCATTTTGTGAGGTTGGGGTTGTTCTTGAATTTTTATTATAATTTGGTGAGCCACCAACGGGTACAGAGGTGGTATTCAGCAGGTTCTGACCAGTTCTAGAGAACCGGTAGCGGAAATTTTGAGTAGTTCGGAGAATTGGCAAATACCGCCTCTGACTGGCCCCGCCCCCATCTGTTCTCTGCTTCCCGAGTCCCAGCTGATCGGCTGGATCTTCTTTGGTTGCCCTGCACAGGAGAACGGAGCTGGAAAGCAGGTTAGTGGGGTGGGGAGGGAATGGGGATTTTGCAGTAACCTTCCCCAGGAGTGGGGAGGGAATGGAGATTTTACAATATCCTTCCCCTGCCACGCCCACCAAGCCATGTCACGTCCACCAAGCCACGCCCACAGAACCAATAGTAAAAATGTTTGAATCCCACCACTGACAGGTACATTTTGTTAATGAAGGACCTTCAGCCAGCCACAATTTCAACAAGGTTGGAGTCATTAAGTGAAAAAAAAAGAACACACTCCTGCAGATTCTGTTCTCCAGCCAGGGAGGCACTGAGTCATGGATAAAATTCAGGTAGACAAACTCAAGCTGCCCGATGCACAAATAAAATTCAGATCTGAAGCTGGTTGCTAATCGGTTGCTGGTTTCTATTCCTGGTGGTCTTATATTATAACACTTTCCTGAAATGTGACATGCACACAGAAGATGTCCTATGTTTCGATATGGCGGGGATAAACAAAATAAAACATAGGTGGAGAAATAAATAGCTCCAACAACCATTAAAGTTTGAAATCTAAGATTTTGTGTTTACATATACACATTCTGATGCACAAACTCCTTCTATCAGACAGGATACTTCCAGTGTCTAACCTCCTGCTGAACAGGAGTTCCTATACCATTTCAGACAAGTGACTGTCCAGTCTCTTCTTAAAAACCTCCAGTGATGATGCACCCACAACTTCTGAAGGCCAGCTGTTCCACTGGTTAATTGTCCTCCCTATTAGGAAGTTTCTCCTTAATTCAGGTTGCTTCTCTCTTTGATTAGTTTCCATCCATTGTTTCTTGCCTTGCCTTGCCTTCTGGTGCTTTGGAGAATAAGTTGACTCCTCTTTCTTTGTGGCAATCCTCAAATACTCACAGAGTAAGCTCACAGAAGCTTATGCCTTTTCATAAAATTTGTTTAGAAAAGGTGCTGCCAGATTCCTGATTTTTGTGTGTGGCTATGAGCCAACACAACTGCCTTTCGAAAATGAATACATGGGAGCAATCCAACTTAGATCCAGTAATTGTACACATTTTATTCCACTATCAGATTAGATTACAGATTAACAGAGTTGGAAGGGACCTTGTAGGTCATCTAGTCCAATTCCCCCCCCACCCAAGCGGGAGACCCTACATCATTTCTGACCGATGGCAGTCCAGTCTCTTCTTGAAAGCCTCCAGTGATGAAGCTCCCACAACTTCTGAAGGGAACTTCTGTTCCATTATTTGATTGTTCTCACTGTCAGAAAGTTTCTCCTTATTTCCAGGTCTCCTTGTTCAGTTTCCACCCATTATTCCTTGTCTGGCCTACAAGCACTTTAGAAAATAGCTTGACCCCCTCCTCCTCTCTGTGGCAGCCCCTCAGATATTGGAAGACTGCTATCGTGTCTTCTCTGGTCCTTCTCTTCACTAGACTAGCCATGTCCAGTTCCTGTAACCGTTCATCGTATGTTTTAGCCTCCAGTCCCCTCATCATCCTGGTTGCTCTTCTCTGCACTCTTTCTAGAATCTCAACATATTTTTTTACAGTGTGGCAACCAAAACTGGATGCAGTATTCAAGGTATGCATTCTATAGGTATACATTCTATAGGTATATTCTAGAAGATATCCTCCCTCCCACCCGATCACTTCCACATCAGCTTGCATTAGTTTCTGCCTGTTAGCACAGAACCCAAAGCATCCTCTCTCTTCGGTTAGATAAAATAATGCTTCAGTTTACAAAAACACTTATTTCTGTGTGGGGGTCTGCAGCTTTGCCCTGACGCTCTGCCATGTTCCCAGCAGCGGACAGTCATTTTAAACACAAACTTAATTATATGACAAGGCCCTGGGTGCTCTTCACCCACAAGCTAATTTCTGTTATTCTAATCTTGGTGTGACCTTGCCAAACCTGTTTGATCAGAGATAACAATAGGGTGAGTGCACACGATTCTTCTACTTTCCACTCTCTTTTTTCCTTTTTCTTTTTGCCTTGTTAAGACTCCTGACAGTTGCAAAGCTTCCCTTCGAATTCCCTGAATGAACTCTTCTGAATGGCTGCCCCCCTGGTTTCCTGGATAACTGATTTACTATCTTTGCAGGGGGAGATGTCATCGTGCTCCCTTTTCTCTGCTGTGGAAGATCGTTCTTCTAGACCCGCATTTACGTTAACTACAGGAGGTGTCCAGGACTGAAATGAATTTAACCATTGTAGCCAGGTATGCTTCATGCTTTAGTCATTTTGTTGGCATTTTGTTTCTGAGAAGGAAGAAGTTAACGCTATCCTTACCAGAGATTTAGCTTCCCTTCCTTTCCTGGGTTTTCATAAGTGCCACAGCTAAACTAAGTGCTATAAACAGAGGGTCAATTTCTGCTATCATTTTTTAATTAATTCATTTATTTGCTTGATTTGTCAATCGCTTACAAGATAATAGGTATAAGTATAAACATGAGTCAGAATACAGGAAATCGGTACGAATAATTGGGGACAATAGGACAGAGACGGGAGGCACGATGGTGCACTTATGCATGCCCTTTACGGACCTCTTAGGAATGGGGTGAGGTCAATAGTGGATAGTTTGAGGTTAAAGGAATGGGGGTTAGAGGATGTAACAACAGAGTCAGGTAGTGCATTCCAGGCATTGACCACTCTGTTGCTGAAGTCGTACTTTCTTCAATCAAGTTCAGAGTGGTTAACAGTGAGTTTGTATCTGTTGTGTGCTCTTGTATTGTTGTGGTTGAAGCTGAAGTAGTCATTGACTGGTAGGACATTGTAGCAGATAATTTTGCATACTACGCTTAAGTCCAACTGTAGGCAGCATAGTTCAAGATTATCCAAGTCCAAAATTTCAAGCCTGGTGATATAGGGTATTCTGTTGCGAGCAGAGGAGTGTGGTACTCTTCTCGTGAAATACTTCTGGACTTGCTTAATTGTATTAATGTCCGATATACAGTGTGGATTCCAGACAGATGAGCTGTATTCGAGTATTGGTCTAGCAAAGGTTTTGTATGCCCTAGTTAGCAATTCAATATTTCCAGAGGAAAAGCTTCGTAAGATTAGATTTACAACTCTTAAAGCCTTTTTGGCAATGCTGCTACAGTGAGCTCTAGTGCTTAGATCATTAGATATGAATACTCCAAGGTCCTTGACAGAGTAAGGGTCATCAACAAGATCATATCCACCTAGTTTGTATTTGGTGTACTGATTTTTTTTTTACCAATGTGTAGGACAGAGCATTTGTTGGTCGAGATTTGGAGTTGCCAAATGTTTGACCATTCAGACATATAATCAAGGTCACTTTGAAGAACAATAGCATTGTTGGTGGTGTTGAATAGTTTATACATCATCCATGGAGACAACAACATATTTCCAGTATATTTGTTTGTTTCTTTATGTGTTAGATCAACACCCTCCTTCTTTATTCCAAAAGATCAAAGTACTAGATGGGGTTTCTCCAAACGGTTCTCCAAGAGTCTGAGAATGGATTTGAATATGAATTTTAATCTTAACTCGGAGTCTCCTTGGGCTCAATCCAACCCAATTGCTACATCGTGCTGGTTTTTAAAGGGGCTCTAAAATAGTGCAACCTGCCAACCTATTGTAGTGTTGGCAGATTGTGAGAGAGTTAAGGGTTTCATGTGAGATTGTGTAGTTTGCATTTGGGCATCCTTGTGCAAGATCTAACCGGAATGGAATGGCTAGATGGAAATGACTCGGATATACTTCTCACACAACCACCGAGGGCCCCATTGTGTTCTTACCAAGCATAACATGGATGAAAGAGTGGATTGTATTGAGGAATACAAGGTTATTGACATTGGAGGGGCATGATTTACAATTGGGTTGGCATGCCTTTTTATGGTATGGGAAAAGTAAGATACATGGTTACTTTCAAAGACACTATGTTAGAAATCTCGAGAGAGAGAGAGAGGGAAAGGGAGAGGGAGAGGGAGAGAGGGAGAGGGAGAGGGAGAGGGAGAGGGAGAGAGAGAGGGAGAGAGAGAGAGAGAGAGGTAAAGAAAATCTTATAAGAATTTGCAATATTCATTCATTCATTCAAAATTCATTCATTCATAGATTCATTATTCATACAATCAGTGGCTCTTATATAATCAGCATTGAGCACTCATAACTGCACTGCATAGTACAGGTGGTCCTTGACTTACGACCACAACCGAGCCCAAAATTTCTGTTACTAAGTGAGACATTTTTGAAGTGCGTTTGGCTCCATTTTACGACTTTTCTTGCCACAGTTGTTAAGTGAATGACTGCAGTTGGTTAAGTTAGAAACAAGGTTGTTCAATTAATCTGGCTTCCCAGTTGACTCCTGCTTGTCAAAAGATCGCAAAAGGGGATCACAGGACCCCCGAGGAACACGGCAACCGTCATAAATACAAGTCAGTTGTCCAGCATCCGCATTTTGATCACGCGACCATGGGGATGCTGCAACGGTCGTAAGCGTGCAAAACGGTCACAAGTCACTTTTTTCAGGGCCGTTGTAATTTTAAACGGTCACTAAATGAACTGCTGTTAAGTCGAGGACTAGCTGTAAAGGTGAATGTATGAATCACTGCCTCCTTATCTGTGCAATGCATTCATGTATGCACACTCCTTTGCAGCTTGCCTGAACATGATGGCTTGGCTTGCTCCCAGTTAATTTGGGAAGAACATGCTGGAAAACTGGTTCTGAAAACCAGTTGGCTAAATTTCTCCAAAGCTACATTACGTGATTGTTGTGCTTTTTCATTATTTGCAATAGGTTGACTCCTCAGCCTTCCGAGGTCAGTAAAATGAGGACCCAGATGTTTGGGGGCAATAGGCTGACTCTGTAAACTGCTTAGAGAGGGCTGTAAAGCACTGTGAAGTGGTATATACTGTGAAGTGGTATATATTGTTTTCCCCAAAATAAGACCCTAGTGTGTGTGTGTGTGTGTGTGTGTGTGTGTGTGTGTGTGTGTATGCCACCAAAAAAGGCACCAGGTCTTATTTTCGGGGGATGTCATTTACTGACTAACCTCACTTGCACAGGTCACCCCTGGCCTCCTTTTCCCTGTCAGAAGCCTTCAGGAACTTCTTCTACGGCCGGCAAAGCTTTCCTGAAGGCCTCTGCAGCAGATAACAGAACTCTGGATCGATCCAGAGTTTTTTAATCAGCTACAGAGGCCTTCAGGAAAGCCTTGCCAGCTACAGAAGAAATGGGCCAGCGAGGCAGGTGTTGGGTTGTGCGACAGTTGGCTACAACTGTCCAAAGTTAAGTAGTAGGGCAGCTCCACCCCCCAATTTCCCACCCTAGCTTAATTTTTACCTGGAGTGGTAGGGATCTTAATTAGAGCTTATTTTGGGGGGTAGGGCTTATATTGGGCACACATATAAAAATCAAGCTAGGACTTACTTTCAGGGTAGGTCATATTTTGGGGAAAACAGGGTAAATCTAAGTGCTATTGCTATTGCTACAATGTTGTGTTAAACCCTTGCTAGTTGACCTTGGTGGCTCACCAAGCCTATGTCATCTATCTGGGATGCATCCAATGTTTGTATTTGTCACCCTGTTGTGCCATATCCCACCCCGATTCTAATCATGCAGCTCCTGTTCCATTTTGGAATTCAAATCTCCCGAATGGGTGTTAATGTGAAAATAGTCCAGTTTCTTCCTTTTAGTTCCTCCCTTGGGTGTAAAATTCAATGTCTGTTACTTCCTTTAAGCAATGGGGGCATAGAGCGACTCAGGCTAAGATGAATGTGTCTTTCTGTGTCCCAACCCAATGGCTATAAACACTGGATTTAGGAAATAAACTTAATCCACAAATCCCCGCCTCAAATAATGGCACGTGTTCCGTTTTTAAAAATTTCTTTACAGCTGTCAACATGTAGAGTTGATTTATGTTAGGCTGCCAGCCTTCCTCTTGACATGGTGCAATTATCTTTTGCAGTGTTACATTAAATGAGAGGCTGGAAACTTAGGGAATAAAAGTATGCCAACTCACTTAATCTATTTATAACAGGTGTTGTAGTTACTCACTTGGTAGCAAAAGATAGACGCAGAAATAATTATTATGGAAAATAAAGTGGGGTCAAAACTGTCTGGTACATTATGAGAACAACAGAAGTTTCCATTTGAAAGAAAACATTATGGTAAAAGATAAAGGTTCCCCTTGCACATACGTGCTAGTCGTTTCTGGCTCTAGGGGGTGGTGCTCATCTCCGTTACAAAGCCGAAGAGCCAGAGCTGTCCGAAGACGTCTCCATGGTCATGTGGCCGGCATGACTAAATGCCGAAGGTGCATGGAACACTGTTACCTTCCCACCAAAGTGGTCCCTATTTTTCTACTTGCTTTTTTTTACATGCTGTCGAACTGCTAGGTTGGCAGAAGCTGGGACAAGGAACGGAAGCTCACTCTGTTACATAGTGCTTGGGATTCGAACTGTCGAACTGCCGACCTTTCTGAGCAACAAGCTCAGCGTCTTAGCCATTAAGCCACCGCATCCCTGTAATAAAACATTACAGGTATCGTAATTTGTGTGACAATTCAGATCTCCAATAGCTTTCAATGCACCACAACAGGGAAATGAGGTTTCAGGTCTGAGTTAAAAGAGAGCCAAGATAAGTTAGTGGTAAAGGAACTGGAGTTGGAGTAGGGAAACTCCATTGCAAAGCCAACCTGAAAATTCACTAGGTGTTAACCCCACCCTATCACACAGAATTGTGCTGATGTAGCAAAACAATTGTATAGGAGAGCATTCTGGTCTCAGCTCCAAGCTTGGAAATTTGGTTGCAAACATTTCATCACCATCGTCAGTGTGCTTTGAAGTGTCTTCGCCTGTCAGAGCACTGGGCTTGAAGTACCTTTTTATGTATTTAGTACAGAGGAGTTATTGAGTCTGTCATCTGCACCTCTATAATTGTCTGGTTTGGTTCTGCAACCCCACAAGACAGACACAGACTTCAGAAGATAATTAGGACTGCAGAAAAAACAATGGCTACCAACCTGCCTTCCATGGAGGACCTGTATACTGCAGGAGTCAAAAAGAGGGCTGTGAAAATATCTACAGACCCCTCACACCCTGGATATAAACTATTTCAACCCCTACCCTCAAAACGACGCTATAGCTCCCTGCACACCAGAACAATTAGACACAAGGACAGTTTTTCCCGAAAGCCATCACTCTGCTAAACAAATAATTCTCTCAACACTGTCCAACTGTTTACAAAGTCTGCAC